CACATACCAGTTGTACTTGGAATAAAATCATTTTTATTCTACATGTTCTTACATAATGAGGATACAAAATAAGGTAACTGTTATCCATCACAGTTGCAGAATAAAAAATAGATTAAAAGTCCAGTAGCAGCAGGCAGCCTTCAGCAGAGATGAGGAAAAAGCTACAGAGATCTGGTGAGCTTACTTTTTTCTAACTCCACACCCCCAGATTTTATTCTTTTTCAAACTTGTAGTCTTCAGCATTAACTGATTTATTTTCCCTTCATCAGATTTCACACCACTCCCTCTGGAGCCACAAAACGATTTATGCAACTTTTTTTTTCACATATGCAGTAATAATACCCAAGACCTGTAAACAGACTTTACCTAAAACAGCTCCCCTTTCAGTCTATTAAAGTCATTTTAGGGGTTTATTGAATTCACATATTCCTCTGACACGCACAATTTTCTTCTCACACTTTTCTTTTGTTAGATTTACCTGGGGGTTCCCAGTTGAGTTCCCAAACAGAAATTCTGTTTACAACTAATTGTATTTATTTTAAGCAATAAATCTTTTAGGTACACTATTAAACTGTATTCATTCTTTGGTGGGAAAGTCCAACATTTCAAACGTAACTGCTAAACAGTACTACATTCAGTTTCTTGGAAAATCAAACCCAGACGGCAAACAACAAGCAAACTTAAACTGTTATATATCAGCTCTGCAAGTGGGACATACAATGTTAGTGCTTTGCCAACTAGATTCCAGGTTATGAAATACATATTTTAGTCATTTGGACTTGGACCGTATTGATCGTCATTGAGAAATGTTCTCTTTCCTTTCTCGCTGCTCCACAGGAACATCAGACGTCAGGTTCTGCTATACAGCACATTCAGAATCTAGCTGAAGGGCACCTCATCAAGATGAATGTTCGCCACATTGTTCCCCAAAATATGTAGCAATGTTTAGTCTGCTTGTAATCCGGGCCTTCTGTCTCTCTCTCCCCTGGCCTCATTAAACAAATCTCCATCCTGTCTCCCGCTCTGCCAGTTGGCCTGGTGGCTCAGTTGTGTACAAACAAAACCACAAATAAACACAGAATGGATGCAGCCACATGTCCCGCTCCAAGTTCTCATTTGATCCCAATATAAAACGGCTCCAAAGGAACAGTTTGCAGTTTTCTGTACATTATACATATTTATGTTTGAAAATGGCTCATGCATACATCAGTGTTCTTCCAGCCTTTACTGCGCTCTTTATTTCTCTCAAGATTTTTCTTTCTTGTAAAGAGTTTGGGTTTAAGGTTTCTGTAACATGTTGGATTTTTAATCCTTTACCCTCTCATTTATAAATTATTATGGATGGGAATTAGAGCTTTAAACTTCCATCTGGTTGACTTTATATTGCATATAATTTACATTAATGTGTTTATATAAAGAAGTTAATATTTTCTGCAAAACAAAAGTTGCTGCATTTTCTTATAGTTGTTTCATTATTTCATGTGTTTTGAAATGTACTCAATTTCAGTGGAAATTAAGTTGATTTATGGCTGATGCATTTTCTAATTACCCTCAATATTGATCCAACTCATACTAACAAACATATCAACTTAAAATCAAGCTTGCTTATTAATAATAATTTGTTGGTTTATACCAAATCCACCTCTGTTGAAGCAGATAATAAACATATGGACTTAGTATACAGATTAAAATGGTAGCTCATTAGATATAAAAAAAAAGCTCCATTTAAAAATAAAGAGAAACAGCAGTTCACCATTAGAAAACAACCTATATTCAAAAGCAGCCTTTATTGTTGAAAATTAATCTAATGCATTTTGACATGACGTCTGTTACAAACAAGCTTCTGTCAAATACATAATGATTGTCAGCTGTCCAAAAAAACTTTTCATGGAATAAGAACAACTTTTTAAAACCTTCTTAAAGCCTAAAGTCCTTAGGGTTTTTTAACTTTGTGTCTGCCACAATGCCACAAAACAGCATTTAACCCTTCAGTTTATCTGGAAATTCTAAAAATCACACACACAATAAACTGATTGCAGCAGTGAAAGTTTTTCCATATTTAAGAATTCTTATTCTTAAGAGGCCCTCCTATCCTACAGTAGGAACACCATTATGTGCTGTCACATTTCCCAGATGGCAGCATCATTTAAACCCATTTCAGTGTTGTGAAGCATAAAGCAAAGCACCAAAAGTGTATAACTGAGCTACAAAGACCATACTTTACATAGTGCAGTTCGTCTGAACATAGTCAAGTTGACATTTATCTTCTGCTCAACAGGGACTTACATGACTCAAAACACATGTGATACTGGGCTTGTGAAAGATCAATAAATAGTCGTCAATAACGTCCCCACAGCTCTCCTTACAAACACGGCTCTCCTACATCTTTGTTTCCGCCAGAGAGCATAGGCAGCACACACTTACACTCACAGAACCGCAGTGAGAACAGCTGAGGGTTTAACGCCGCAATGTGGCAGCAATTTTGGGTTCCGCTCTGGCGAGAATCTGTAGCCTGTTTCCTTTTGAAAAGCCCTAAATGTCCGAGGCTGTCGGGAAGGTGCATTTCACGGCCAGTTTAGCAGCAGGAAGTGTCTTCAGTCAGGGTGTTTGTGTAAACAGCTCGTAATGGTTTTAGCCCCGCTTTGAGGCATCTGAAGCGCACACACATACATTTGTACATATACACAGATATGTATAAACAAAGTGTACGTAGTGGTTCATGGTACACACCCCTACACACACATGCATACGTGAATACTTGCATGTGTGCCACAGACATTCATTCTTGTAATTCAAAAGCAGTGAAGCCTATAGACTGTATACAAATGAGACCCATTAGGCTGTCAAATGCACTTTCTCTTCTAGCTGACTTTAACTAAATGTGCTTCTTGCTCTTGAAAAGAGCTGCGTTGACTGTTGTTGTGCACTAATGTCACATTTAAATTTGTGTTTGCAAGGTTTTTTGCATGAACCAATTATAGTTACATATTGGACGCTGTGTCACGTCCATCTTTTGTGCTGCTAAATGCTCCTGCTTGAACAAATTAGTGTAATGCATAGCAGAAAACTGACCTTATTATGTGGAGTAGATGTGTTAGCCAAATTGGCTTTTTGGATCGGTTAGCCTAACATATAAAATAAACCGATGTTTCAATCTGGTGTACTGTAACCTGACCTTGACCTGTAATAAGCCATGTCATTTAATTTGGACCGATTGTCATGGACACTAATTTACAACAACAAAAACGTTTTAGGGCAAACGTAATGTCGACTGGATTACGTATTGTGTTAACATTATGAGAAAATGTTGTCAATAAAAGCTTCTGGCAAATTGCAAATTTTTTAAATTAATCGAAAGTAAATTGACTATCTTTGGATTTTAGGGTGGATATATAAAACAAGCAATTTGAAGATGTCAACTTGGGCTCTGGGAAATTGCTAGGCAATTCTTACTATTTTTTGACATTTTGTACAAACCAACTAACAAATTCATTTAAAAAAGCAATGTAAAAAAGTCTTAATTACATATTTAGGAAATATAATTTATATGAATATCTGACTTTATACCTGCTTGTTGCACAGTAAGAACCAGGTACTGTATTCAAGCATAAAGCTTTCAAACCATAAACATTCAGACCTTTACTCCCGAACCAACAGGCAACCGAACAACTTTTCTGCAAACAGTTCCTCTTAGACTAACCGCGGTGGCTGTGATAGATCCTGGTCCAACCAGAATCCTGCAGCGATAAGGACCAACAGTAATATCAAACATGGTCGAACTGCAGTGGCAGAAACTAAATGGAAAACACTGAAATTTAGAGCTCCAGAGGTACTGCTACTGGGCAGGGTGGCTAAGGCCACAACCAGGCTCTCAAAGCAAAAAGTAGTAGACAGTTGATGCATTTTCTCCAGTTCGAAAGGGAGGAATGGAGTAAGGGTGCAACAGTAGTTCAGCAGAAAAGTAGAATTTGTGCAATAGCTTCATCAAGTTTACCAACAGTACAGTCAGGAACAGACCTGCTGCCTTCCTATATTCACTGCCAAACACTTAAGACTTGATAAGCTTTTGTAAAGGCATAATACAATTAGTTAAAGCCTCATAACATTCTCCTGATGGAAAGTGAGTCATTTCTCAACATAGTCCGATCCCTGCTTACTGGAAAAGTCATCACACAGTCTGGGTTAGAGGAGGGCGATCGAGAAAAGTTGTCAAAGCTGACCGCAGGTTGACTTTGTTACGAGTTATTAGTGGTACTGGAGGGAGTGATAGTAAAAACCAGAGGAGGCACAAATGGTAACCTGAATAAATGAAGGCTTTTTGGTATGCTCTGCTGCAGTGGTTCACACACCATGGCTGGACCCACGGTTGCTTAATGTGTTCAAAATCTGAGTAGAAATACACATGTTCTCTGTACTGATCCTGTCTTGAATTGTAATCTAGTGGATTTTTTTATGATGTGATGAAAGTCAAAGGGAGTGTGTGTCAAATTTAAGGTTTTCATTTTATGGTTGTTGATATGGTTTAGTCATTTAACTGAAGATACAGTGTGACGTATTTGAGTATAAAAGTGCTATCAATTTAAATAAGTTTAAGTTCTGATCTGGCCTCATGTTCCAACCCCGTTAGGTTTATATCATTTTTGATTACTTCAGGATGAAAAACATTATCACTGACTGGGGTGGCTGTGGCTCAGGAGGTGGGGCACCTGTGGTTTAGAAGGTAGAGCAGGATGTCCCCTTATCAGAAGGTCGAAGGTTTGATCCCCAGCTCCTCCCGCTTCATGTTAAAGTGTCGTTGAGCAAGATACTGAACCCCAATTTGCTCCCACTGCTGGCCTTTGCAATCACTGTATGAATATGGGGGAATGTGGCATGTAGTGTAAAAGTTTTTTAAGTGGTCCCTTTACCATAGATTATGTTTACATGCAACAATTTCTGATGAATAACTGACATGATTACTCTCTCTCTCTCTCCACACCCCTCCTCCTGCTTTCTCTCAGGTATTCTGTCCTTCACAACGGGAACCATGCGGAGCAAGAGAAAAAGTCTCTGCACACTGACACAGAGTCCCACGAGTCCTGCTTGTGACCAGTCACATCTCCAATGACCTCGGCTCTCACACTGTCACCACAGAGTCAATGGACACACACCGCAGCCTCCACACATCCGGAGCTGAAATCTAACGCAGATGCTACGAATCCAGCAGAGCTCCAGAAACCAGAGCTCCGATGGGACTTCCAGGAGAGAAATATGACAATGCGAGAGGTGCATCTGGTTTTAAAGTTCAGCCAAAACCCAACCCATGGTCTTTAAAGGTGACAGGGACCTAGTGGACTGGAACCAAACCAGTTCTGTCTTTCTGTAATGTTGGTTCTCCCATCTGCAGGCCCACAGAGACTGAGCTGTCCCAGTCGAACTGAATCACAGCCTAAATGCAACTGTGATCCCATCAGCAGGCCCGCTGGTAGCTATCTGTGCAGTTCAGCTTGTCTTGTGGAGAACCGGCAGCTTCAGTGGAATGTGTAGGAGAATTTCACAGCATGAGATGTGATTAAGGACTGGGAGTCGTGGAAGTGAATTGTGTTGCCAAAGCTATTTGATATTATATACAGAGGACCTATTTCTGATTATAATATGATGCTCCCTGTTGTTTTCCAGTAGAAAGTCAGAAAGACTGACAATAGATTTTAGAAGGTTGTTCCTTATAAAACAAGCATAAGCTGGCAAATGAGCTTTTAAAACAAGTGTTATTCATTAAAAGAGGCAGAGCTGAGAACAATATTTCTTTTTCTGAACATCACATGTTAAACATCACATGTCTTACCCTCAGACACAAAGCTGAAGAACCTGTATGTGTCCCAGGCCGAAGCTTTCCAGCTTTGCTAAATCCTTTCAAAGCTGAAAGGAAAATGTGGCTGCAAGGCTGCGTTAAATCCTTGACCTAAACTGTTGAAGTGCATTATTATAGAAGCTGCTAGCTCACACTCCATCTTCATCACTTTATGAGGCTCCGTCTGAATCATTGTTTTCCACACAATAAGAAGTTAGAGGACCACAGCGCATAAAAGCTACTCATGAATAATTTAACAGGCAATGTGATGATGTCGGAGCAATATGTGCATGGTTATGGTGTGTAAGGGTGTTTGTGTGTGTGTGTGTGTGTAGGGGTGTGTGTGTGTGTGTAGGTGTGTGTGTGTGTAGGTGGTGTGTGTGTGTGTGTGTGACTACATTTACAGGCTTTTGCAGTCTCTGTATGTGTTTCCATGGTGATGCATGCTTTCATGCAAGTGTGTCTCTGAGTGCATATGAACATGTCCCCATGTGTGATGTTAGTACGTATGAAACACCCTTTCCCATCATCCTACACTGTGCCGCCATCTCAGCACACCATTTATTCTCTCCGTCCCTGCTCACCTTGGAGCCCATCCTAAAGAATGTATCGGAAATGTTTCCATTTGTTTATATTCATGGAAACTGAGAACACTAAAGCCAGCTGTTTACCTTTACCCATAATCCAACTCACTGATAGTTCATTTCCTGTCATTTCCCTCGCAGACTGTCCTCTCTGTGTCCTACAGTGGCTGTGGCTTACAGAGTAAAATTGTATTCAAAAGGCCACTCACCAGCCATTTCGGTGCTCTTTTACGCCATCTTGTTGCTGCTTCTTTTGATTTTCTGACTGGACAACTGGCAAAACCTACTGATGAACCAACTCCTAATGGATGGAAACAAGCATTCATTCACATTTTCTATTATTGATTGAAATTCGGTTAAGATTTGTGATATCTTTGTGTGCTGGATGTGCAAATACACTACTGATTGCTAATAAATTAGCCATCAATTTATAAACAATATGTCAGGGCTGTGTCTGTCAAGCGTATTGTGGTGCCCCCAAGTGGTAAAAAATTATTAAGGCTAATCCAAGGCTGGACCCAGTTTAACAAGTTCAGAGGACACATCAACTCTGTCATTGCGGTAACAAGCAGCTAGTTGTCTTTTTGTCTTTGATTGGTTGTGATTAGTACTTTTTGCAAACCAAATTAAGTAGGCATGCTACTCTGGATTCTCACCTAGCCAGGAGCAAGTGAAAGGGGGATCAGTTGGTTCAGTCAGACCTTATGTACACTTAACAATAAGTGAGTCACTTATGTCTTGTATGTTGATGTTGGTACGTTAACATATAAGACATGTGACATACATTCCGAAGCAACTGTTTATCATGCTGAAGTGTCCTTGAGCAAGAGTTTGTAGTTTGGTTCGTCATGACACTGTGGTCAGCTTGGATTATGTCAGCTACAATGGATTGAAATGATGATTCACACTGTCTATGTGCATCAAAACGTCAACAGAAATTTCTCAAACCATTCCGGGGGCATAATCCAGTCCTCTGCTGTCCATCTGTATGCTCAGTATGTTTCAAATAGTCAATTTTAGTTTTTTTAAAGCATACTAATGGTGTGTTTGACACTGGAGGATCACTTTAAAGCTCATGGGGATTCAGTGTTTTACTCAAGGACACTTGAGGACACATCTTACATGTACCTTGGCTAGTGGTCAGAGTTCTGGTAGTCTGACATCCCACCACCTTTATTAACACCAGTTAATAAAAACACACCAAGAAATGGCTGCTTATGATCCCACCAGGAGTCAGTCCATGCGGTTACACTCAACTTTCCAAGTATGAAAAACGGTTAGCTATCAGATGTCAATATCTTTACCCTTCAACCTTTAATCCCTTGCAATTTCAAGAAGTTTCCTGTAGGTTGGTAAGATGATGATCTTTACCTCAGTGCTCTTGGAACAGGACTAAAACTTGTTTCAACGACTTGTTACTAAACACTAAATTCACTAAAAAGGAATGTTTAAAGGCCATGTAGACATCAGCGAAGACAACCAGAAGACTGTATCTTAATATACAGCAACAATTCATTTATGAAAAAAGTTCTTATACAGAGTTTACTACATGTATGCTGAATTTTTGGGGCTGTTTTATTATTGAATTTTCTGCAGTGCAAAGACATTTTTCAGCACCAGACAATAGACGAACGATGGATTATGTTTCCTTCATTGATGAACACATATATACATTTCTTTGTTCTTGTGTTTTTTTTCCCCAAAAAATTGACTCCTTCAAACTGTAACTTCTTCGATAGCTGAAGCACAAGCACTTTTTGTGATTTAAGGAAGGATCAGTTTATATTTTAGTTTAGTAAGTTTTTTTGAGGCAAGTTGATAATCCCCCCCAAACAACCTGTGGATGTTCGTGCATTTAAATATTATTTATTGTCCAATATATGTCTAGTGTTCTGAAGATAATTATGATCTAGATTACCTATTTTAATATTAAACTCTGACTGTGCAAACTATGCATTAGAACCAGTTGCCTGTCAATTTGTTCCCCCTTTGCAAATCCTCACTTGTCAATGTTCAGTTTTATAAAAATCTGTAATGGCATTCCTTTTTCTTAGAAAATAAAAATAATGATTTTTCATATTAAATTAAAAAGCTCAAAATTGTGCATATTATTTATCAGTTAACTGAATGAAAGACATAGTTATTCAATAGATATTTTCACTGAAAGTGTCTAATAAAATGTTTTGCTCCCAGGAAAATTGGCCTTAACTTCCTGCTGATTTTGGATTTCCAACATTGTGGAAGTCAGTGAAAGTTGGTAATGAGGCCCATTTATTATTATTATTTTTACTGTTTTTTTTAATTAGAACAATTGAAGACAAACTTAGATTGTACATTTTTCTTTGGAGTTTTGTTTTCTACCATCGTAAATGTTCACAATGGTGCACTTTTCTGAAATAGCATCCCAGTGATCGACTTGTGTCCTTGCTCTGTCTTCATTAACATGACCTCTCACTGCAGAGCGAGACCACAAAAGGCTGAGAACAAAGCCTGCAGAATATAAACTAAATGAGACACAGTTCCACAGAGACCTTTTTGGTCCTAAGAGGTTGCAAAATTCTGCATTTTTTTTGTAAGCAATTACATTCCTGTTTCCAGCATCTTTAAACCCACAATTTTCTTTCAAACAAATGTCTGTTTATTGATTTTGCACAAGTATAAAATGAGACAGACTTTGTGGCTTGAGTGTCAGGCATTTTTAGTTTTTTTTTATATTCAGCCTATTTTTTCTTTACTTTGGTGTTCAATAGCCGCCCCCTTCCACGGCTGCAGTTTCCATGACATCTGTGGAAGCTTAATGTCAGGCGGTGTGTGTGTCCATTCTAGTGTGGAGATGTTTGTGTGTGTGTGTACATGTGTGTGTGCCGCGTGGGAAGCTCCTCAACAGTCTAAAATTAGGGAACTCAAGCTCACCTACCTTCATGAAATTTAATGAGCCAAAAAGTGTAAGGAAGGCCATTTTTGGAGATGTACCAAACACATCACGAGATATAAAAAAAATCAATCTGAGCACGCTCTAGTTCTCCAGTTTGGAGCCGTCTGAGAGATTCAAGGGGTCATAGTTATTTCAGGTAGAAGGGGGAGCATGAAGAAAACCCTGCTGCTCAAATGGAACTACTTTCAAGTCAGAAATCTATTTACTACTTCAAAGAAGCAGTTAGAGCATTCGTCTGCCTGTGAATAAATTTGGATTCATGTTTTGTAAAAATCCATCCCCAGAACTCCTAGGTTCATTCGTGTTAGGTGAGCCTTATGTTTCCATGTGATCATGAATACACAAAGTCAGTGCTGAAAACACAGGCAGAGTGAGCTCAGAGTGCTGGAGGTGAGCTGTGGTCAACCTGAATTCTTTGCCAGTGTTCCTCAGAGAGACACAAGCTGTCTTATATTAATAAGGTGCACTACAATAAGGTGACTTTGGGAAGCCTGTCCAATGTACAACGATAACCTCTGGATGGTTTGGAGCCAGAAAGCAGCACTGCCACTGATATATGAATTAAATACAGTATCCTAACTGCTACAACCCCACAGGACTCAGTTCCTTCAACATGAAGCTGACATGGTGATTGGTGAGGGTTGCATTGTTAGATCAGATAATGGAAGATTTAATTCCATTAAGAATCCATTCTCTACCTTGAGCAGAGTCTGTAGCCTTTAAAAGCCTTTTGTCTCCTCAATATCCCATGATACATGACCAATTCATTCCAAAATAAAAAATAAAAATGTTTGGAGAAGAAACTAATGATGTAGTTGATGGTTCAATATTTCTTCAAATACAGAAACAGAGTCAAAGAGTTCATCCAGAATAATCACCAACTCTCTGGTTTCATTCAGTTTTGCACATGTGACTTTTTTTCCAATGCTGGATTCTACACTTCATGTAACCTCACAGGTAATATTTAGTACTGAAGTTCTCAAACAGCCTCTTTGCCTTCTTTATTTGCATAATGGAAATGTCCCTTGAACATATTTTTAACATCTTACCTGCCTTCTTAAATGTCAGATGCAGCCACTGTCTGAGTCTTACTTTGTAACTCAATTTTTGCTGATTCAGACAAAGAATTTAGCCAAATTTCCAGCTGTCAGAGGTTTCAATGAGATCTGTAAATTGAGAGGTTGCTGCTTGGATGTACAGGATACAAGACTAATTCAGCATTAAGGAAAGAGTTACACCAATATAAATGTGGTGCAAAAAGAAGGATTTTGACAGTGGCTGCCATTTGTGCAACTGAGTTGTATTCCCTGTCACTCCTGCTCTGTATCCCTTCCATCTCTTTTTTAATTTATTCATTTATGTTTGCAGCTTACAGCTTACAGCATGAATGTGTATATAAAGAGAAAAAAACTCCCATAAACTGTCCAAAGGAGACGGGGAAAAAAACAACTTTTATAAAACTCTTCAGTATTTATTTTGACAGAACAAAATGGGTATTTTCATGTATTAAAAGAACATAAAAGGCTTCTCTTTCTGGGAGCTGAAATGTGTATGACTTTTTTCTGTTGCTATGTGACAGTTCAGATAAAGGCTAATTAAAGAGAAGAGATGTTGATAATCCTGCTGTTGACTTTCTTTTGTGACTTTGATAAAAGCACTTAAAACGTCACTGAAGTGCTCACTTCCCGTTTCCTCGCCGAGCTGATCCACGCTCTCCCTTTCTCTCTGTTGACAGTTCAGAAAGAAAAGCTCATAAAGATAAAGCACAGAAAGGGATCTTTCTTAGCAGAGATGAGTGGAGGTAGCATGACGTGCATTCTTTGTCAGGTTTGAAAAGTCTCACTCTGTCACTTCCAAATTAATTTTGACAATTTCTGATTCTGCTCTGTAGACCAAATGAGAAGAAGGTTGTTTAGCTTGTGTTTAGGGCTGTGACCCATTAATTTAATTGTATTGATAGTGATTCAGTTGATTTTTCCAATTTTATAGAATATAGAAAAGCAGCAACATTTGAGAGGTTTCTCGCAGCTTTTGTTGCTAAAACTGGGTGGAAACAACGAGAGTTTTAAAAAAGCAACTTGCATTGCAGAACTAATCCAAAGTATTTAGTTCGAAAGTTGTGTACTGTAGACACTGTTGTACAATATACACATCCATTTTCAAAAAGCTCTCTTTTTGTAGTCGCTATATCTCCAGTTTGTTTCAATACATAAGGGAATCCAGGGAGAGCACTGTTTCACGTAAGACGTGTGTTTAAAGTCTGCAGCGTATGTTTGTTTAGTGGCTGTTCTCGCTGCTGTTCAAGAAATTACTTTTGTGTTTAGAAATCCAAATGGACATCTCAGTGCCGACCATTCGACTCGGTATTGCGAGACTAGATCTAGGCAAGATTTGAAAAGATATCCATTCACTACCTGGAGACAAAACCTGCTCACATTGGACAGCAGCATATAAGAAACCTGTGTCTTTTATACAAAGGCTGCACATTTAACTCTTTCTGTATATTTTGTGGGATCTTTGACATTCAATAGGAGGCAGTACAGCTCTGACTAGAAATGACAGGACTGAGATGAAGGACAACATGCAACAAAAGCGATTAAATGTGAGCTTCTTAAACCGCCATCCAGCTCTTTTTTATTCCAGAAGTGCACACAGCCTCATTCAGAAAGGGTCCTGCGGAGTGCAGTGGTTTGAAGGAGAAACTATCCATGGGGTAATAATCATAGAGGATTAGGGTGAATTATTTGTTTTGAAATGCTTGGATTTAAAGCAGTGGAGTTCCTTGTCCTACGGTTTTATATGGAACATTTACATTAGTAAGTGGAAAGAAAATAGACTGAGCACAGGCACCAAAATAGGTCTGATTTATGGCACATAAATCAGAGCTGAAGAGTAAGCTGTCACACGGCTGGTCTAGACAGCTGCATTGGTCCAAATGGAAGTGTATCTCCTCCTTAGACGGATATATGAAAATATGTGGCTGAATCCGTCCAATGTAAACAACTTGTAAATCTCTAAACCCTGCTAGTGGCACTTCATTACTTCACTACATCACCAGTGAAACCTTCATTACACATACATAGTCGACAGCAAACAACATACTCCAAACCTTAGCAGTTCTATAGTTAAACTGTTACATTAGAAAGGGAGGGAAGGAGTCAGAGGAAAGGGAAAGAGCTCATTAAAAATAAAAGGGTTCAACCTTTTGAAGATACAAAAATAGGATTTTCCTCATTTTAGTGGCACTTAATTGTCAAGCCTCTATATGACCTTCATAAATAAGCAAGACCATCAGCAATAGTGGCCATCTAACGCTGTAATGCCTGCAGCCCATTGAAATCAATGAAACAGGGATACCAGAATCAACAGAAATCTGAAGTTTCTTGTAGCTGCTTAAAATGTGAAGAAGGAGAATAAGAGCCTTTCAGTCATTATTTTAATATTCTCTGTAATTTAAAAAATTACATTTCTAAAATTTGTCCTCTGCAGTTGACTCATCCAATACATTTGGAGCAGTGGGAAGCCATAGGCATCCACGAGCAACTTGGGGTTCAGTGTCTCTGCTTAAGGAAAACTAAACCAATTTAGTTTTTCTTACACACTTTGCAGCCCCATTCTCCTTCCCAGGTCTTTAAATACAGACACCAGCGGTGTTCAGTTAGTTGCAGTCTTAAACTACATTGCTAGATGCCACTAAATCCTACACACTGGTCCTTTAAAGAGTTATGATTCAAATGTTTCAATTGTTTTAACATTCATTCTTGCACCAATATAAAAGAAAACCTTAACATTATCTCCTGAGCCTTAAAATATGGAAATGTTCACTGTCCCCATTCTGTATTCAGTTTAGTCTCCATGTAAAGAGAAAGGAAAAGCTTAGAGCAGAGCAGGCTGTGCTTCTATGGTATGTAAATTAGCCTAGATGCTATCTTCCTCATTTGCATTTACACATATCCTCTCTGACTCTTGCTGCAATGCATTGGACACTGTCCTAACTGCAGGGAAGCAGTTCTCCTCCCTGTGGAACTCATCAAGACACAAAATACTAAAAAATGCAACTGCTTCCTCCAAAAGGTAAATATGTTTTTTCTGAAGTATCGGTTTCCCCATTAGCTGGAGATTTGCTAGGAGACTCTAGAGAGGCTGCCGGCTTTAGATATTTGGGTAAATAAATGAAAATGGTATTTTTGTTTCTTTTCACTGGTGAAAGCTGGTCATGATTATTTGTATTAAGTAATAAATTATACTGTAGTTGTGTAATCCTTCACTGTCTCCTCTGATAAATTGTCATCCAAGAAAAGTCCCTGACAGTGTCTTGGTTCGAATAAAATGAAGAAAAGACCTTCAAAGTGAAGAGAATAAACTAACTCTTGAGTGCATTTTTTATGAAAAATATATAGCTTCCAAACTCATTGCTATGCCTCAGCTCTCTTCTTTCAGTGTGCAACCATTTATCTTCAGTGGTACCCTGATGAGATTTGCAGATATAAAGGAAAAGATCTCACCAAGAATTCTTGACAAGACCAAGTATGAGGCCTCGGTGAGACCTAATTTTAATAAATGTCACATCCAGACATGGCACCTATGAGAACGTCACAGTGTTGGAAGAAATACTCAGATATTATGCATAAAGAAATAATTAGTCATGCCCATGTCCGAGTGTGAGAACCCCTCAGCAACACCACAGGAGAAGCTTAGTACTAAGTTGTCTAAACTTACTTTCAAAAGTTGGTTCTAAAGTAAGACTATTTGTAAATAGCTGATCATTTGCATTATTATATTTTCTGATATTAGCTGTATTTCTGTTTTTACAGTGGAGTGTTTAATACACAGCAATACTTGGAGAGCTTTCACTTTTTAGTCACTATTATTTAGAACAAATAAGTTATGATTTTTGCTTGTTAATTAGTTTGTTTAAGCCTGAGCCTAAAAAGCACCCTGGTTTTTCACTATATTGTTTGATCTACCACGTTCAAGTTTTCAGTTCAGTGTGATATCATGGGATGGCATCAACTTTTAAGGACATGTCATGTCATATATACACCTTTTTAAGCTTTTCTCATGTCATTTAACGCCATTATAGATAATGCATTTTATTTTAGTGTGCAGGAAAGGATGATGTCAGGTGACCTTTGTCATCTTGGTGACAATAATAAAGATGTGGTTAATGTTGTGAAATTGTTGCAGTTCTGGGTGAAAGTCCTGTGTTTGTTTGGACTTTCTTACTCTTTACACTACGTCACCTGACATTTTTGTCTACATGAAATTTATGCATAAAAAGACACGCCTTCTCGGCAGTATAAGTCTGTAGATACTGGCGTGAAAAGACACACGAAAAGCCAAATATGCGCTGCGATAGCGCGCAACTGGTTTTAGTGAAGCATGCATTAACTACTGCATATGTGGGTAAAATAATGGACAAAACCACACTAACATTATATATCATATCATGTTTTTTTACATTTTGGACACCCTTACAGAGTGTGAATGCAGGCTTACCCAAAAACCTGTCCAAACAGACAGTTGTTCAGGTATCTAGGAGCTTTAGCAAACACACAACCAACAACTCTGTGAAAAGAATTTGGACTTGTTCCTGTTTTCCTGATTTTTATTGACAGTCGATGTGCAGCTGTAATCTGCTGGCCAGCAGGGACGCATTAGTGCAGTAGAGCGAGAAACTGAGGAATTAAAAGCTATTGGTTACTGATTTCAAAATGACTCACAAACAAGTCAGAGAGCTCAGTGCAGGGAGCTGAGAGCCACACGTATGCAGACCAGCATGTTCAAACATACAAACACATTCACATAGGCATGTGCACACATGCACTGATATTTTTAAATATTAATTAGATTAATATAAACACATGCGCATAGACTATCATAAATAATAAAGCACACTAAAATAATAATGAATAAATACACATATATTACTCATCATTCAACGGAAAGTGATTCAACTTTTGCTTTCGTTCTACAGACTAAACTTTATAGCTCCGAGTTCAGCTTCACTTTGCTTTGGCAGCATGTTTTTGGATTCAGCTCAGTCGGACTCTATTCATCTCCACAGACCATAACTTGTGCAGAGCGTCGACAGAGACGGTCAAACCTGGAGAATAAATATCCTCAGAGAAACATACATCATTCGGGGCAGCACTTTTTACAAAGCACAAAGATGTATTGTGCTTTGGTTCCCAGCAGTGCTATAGTTCTTGAGATCGGTCTTGAGCTTGGAATCGACTCAGTCTTGTCCCGGGTCTCAGACAAAGGATTTTATTTCAAGACCAGTCAAGGCCACAACTGCAGGCATATCACTAGATGGCCTGTGATGATTTATTTTTTAACATCATTACTGTGATTGGATGTAAACGTACTGCTTCAAATGCAACCAAACTCATTTTTAATTTGACATTTTTGTTACCAACTGTCGCCCTCCCCGCCCCCCTTCACATGCACACTCTGAGAAAGTGAATGGTGGAGACTGGGAGGAGATGTCAGCCAAACCTTCTGTAAAAGAGCTAAACAAACAGCATAAAGAGTTCATTTGGAAAACAGCATTCAAAAGAAAAACACATTGCAGTGTGTTCTGCTATGCAAC